GGTTGTGTTTGCAACCTATGTAGGATTGGAACATTTTTCCAATTCTTTTCCATTTATTCCTCTTCTTTATTGTCCAACTTTCAACCATAATTTCTCATTCATATTGAAGTGTTTTTTCACAATTAAATATTCTACATTCATCTACTCAGAACATAGAATTTAATTGAACATTAATTTTGATACATCGAACATCGGGTCCCACTTAAAACTGTGGTCAAAGTTGACCCAATTGACCCACAATTTTCAACAATCCCCCACATGAATGGAAATTATCATGACTATGCAATGCAGACATGAACAGAGAGTATAGGCGAAAGACTTATTGCATCAGGAGAGGTAGCTTTTGGCTTTGAACCTGCCTTAGTGGAATACTATTGAGTTTACTTGGCTAATCAGTGAACTGATGTCTTGAACTGTTTAGCCGTTGGTGTAAACCAAGGCAACAGTATCCACACAATAACCTTTCTATTCAATTCTTAGGTTCTCATAGCTGTGTTCATTTTGGCCCTGAACAATTCTTGGGATTCATAAGTGCTTTAGAGAATTTTAAGCCCCAAATTCTCATAGAAGCGGCCCCACTTTACACTTATATAGGCGATCTCCTATTAAGAGTATTCTGATATACCCCACTTGGTTTATCCAAGCTATAGGAATCATTAAAAGTTACAACTTAGCCTTTTACTTTCTACAGACAACACTTTTTATAAAGGGATGGTTAAGTGCTTAACCGAGTCTTAATAACTTAGTTGTACCATTGAACCAAGATCTTGGGATCTCGAGTCAACAAGGTTGGGTTACCATCATTAAGATTCATGCATGTTCGGCTTTAATCCCCTTCCCTTTGATAGATAATATACTTGATCTCTTGGTAGACCTTTTGTAAGTGGATCCGCGATATTCTCCTTTGATTTCACATAATCAATGGAGATAATACCATTTGAGATCAACTGTTTTATGGTATTGTGTCTACGACGTATATGTCTAGACTCACCATTATACATATAATTTTGTACCCTTGCAATAGCAGACTGATTGTCACAATGAATACTAATTGCAAGTACCGGCTTAGGCCAACACGGGATATCCTCTAAGAAGTTACGAAGCCATTCTGCTTCTTCTCCAGCTTTATCTAATGCAATAAACTCCGATTCCATTGTTGATCGAGCTATGCAAGTTTGCTTTGAGGATTTCCAAGACACTGTCGCACCACCAAGTGTAAATATATAACCACTTGTGGATTTAGAATCTTTCATATCAGATATCCAATTTGCATCACAATATCCTTTTAATACTGCTGGATATCTCATATAATGTAATCCAAATTTTAAGGTATGTTTTAAGTATCGAAATACCCTATTCAATGCCTTCCAGTGATCATTGCTTGGATTACATGTGAACCTACTCAATTTATTAACTACGAACGCAATGTCAGGACGTGTACAGTTCATTAAATACATCAGACTTTCAATAACCTGAGAATATTTTAATTGATGTACAGGTTCACTTCTATTTTTTGCTAAGTGTAGACTCGTGTCTACCGGAGTTTGGACTGGACTTTCATCAAAGACTCCAAATCTCTTTAGCACAGACTCAACATAATGAGATTGTGAAAGAACGAGGCCCTCTGGTGTTTTAGAAATTTTAATTCCAAGAATTACATCTATTACACCCATGTCCTTCATGTCAAAATGTTTTGTTAGAATTTTCTTAGTGGAGACAATGATATCATGATTGCTACCTAGAATTAGCATATCATCCACATATGAACATACTAAGACATATGCTGTCGGTGTACTCTTATTATACACATATTTATCACACTCGTTAATTTTAAAATCATTTGACAGCATTGTTTTGTCAAACTTTTGGTGCCACTGCTTTTGCGCCTGTTTTTGTCCATATAAAGATTTAATGAGTCTTCAAACCTTTTTCTCTTGTCCATGAGCGACAAATCCTTCATATTGCTCCATGTATATTTCTTCTTCCAACTCACCATTTAGAAAAGCTGTTTTAACATCCATTTGATGAATTTCGAGATTATGTATCGCAGCAATTGCAATAAGGATTCTTATCGAAGTAATCCTCGTTACTGGTGAGTAAGTATCAAAGAAATCAAGACCTTCCTTTTGTCTATATCCTTTATCAATAGATCCATCTTATTTTAACTTTTTCTTGAAAATCCACTTGCAACCTAGAGGTTTATTTTCAGGTGGGAGATCAACCAACTCCCAAATATGATTTTGCATTATCGATTCAATTTCACTATTGATAGCTTCTTTACAAAAAGGAGCCTCTGGTGTTGACATTGCTTCACTGAATGTCTTTAGTTCATTTTTGATCATCTACGTTTAAATTCTGAACCGAAGGACGTAGACTTTCTATCCCTTTTATTGCGTCTGAGTTCTTCTTCATTTTCATCATCATTTGCAGTATCGTAAGTTCGTTTTGTTGAACTTACATCACTTTTGTCTTTACGAGGAAAGACATCTTCGAAGAAACTTGCATTCCTTGATTCAATTATTGTATCTTCATGTATATCCGTAATCTCGGATTTATGCACAAGAAATGATATGCACTACTGTTATGAGCATATCCAATAAATATACAATCTACAATTTTTGGTCCTACTTTCATTTGATTAGGTTTTAGCACTTCTACGTTTGCCAAACACCCCCACACTTTCAAGTATTTATATGAAGATTTATGACCTTTCCATAATTCGTAAGATGTTTCATCCTTTACTTTGTGTGGTATTTTGTTAAGAATGTGATTTGCCAAGAGGATAGCCTCCCCCAACAAATTTTGTGGTCAGCCAGAACTAATCAACATAGCATTCATCATTTCTTTAAGCGTGCGGTTCTTTTGTTCCGCAATACCATTAGATTGAGGTGAGTAAGGAGCCGTTGTTTGATGAATGATGCCTTGTTGAGAACAAAATTCTTCAAACGGCGCTCTATATTCTCTACCTCTATCACTTCGAACAATTTTTATTGTTTTGCTAAGTTGATTTTCAATTTCATTCTTATAATGTTTAAATATTTCTAAAGCCTCATCTTTGCTTTTTAATAGATAAACATAACAGTACCGAGTGCAATCGTCAATGAAAGTGATGAAATACTTTTTCCCACCTTTAGTTTGTACGAATTTCAAATCACATATATCGCTGTGAATTAATTCTAAAGGTAAATTATTTCTATCAATTGAAGGAAATAGTCTTTTGGCCAACTTAGCCTCAACACAAGTTTTACATTTGTGATTAGGATCGAAACTTAGAGAAGGTAGCAAATTTAATTTCATTAATTTGTGCACAGATTTAAAGTTTGCACGTCCTAATCTTTTATGCCATAAATAAGAATAATCAACAATATACGCATAAGTAGAAGTTTCATTAATCTTGTTCAATTTAGGTACAACAGTAAGGATGTTCATCTTGAACATCCCATCGGTCATGTAATCTTTACCAACATACATCCCATTTTTAGTTAGTACAAATTTGTCAAATACAAATACTAACTTAAACCCATTCTCGCTAAGAAGAGAACCAGAAATAAGATTTTTTCGAATGTCCGGCACATGCAGCACATTGTTGAGGACGAGTTCCTTGCCAAATGTCATCTTCAAGGTCACCTTTCCTCGTCCTTCAAACTTTGAACTTGAGGAATTTCTCATGAACAGTTGTTCTCCATTGATAATTTTGTAATCAGAAAACACATTCTTTTCAGCACAAATGTGGCGAGTGGCACCAGTGTCCACCCACCATTCCCTGGGATTTCCAACACTATTACATTCAGATATTATAGCAGATAGGTGCATTTCTTGAACACCTTCAGACAGATTTTCAGTTTCAACAACATGTGCACGGTCATTTTGCTTTTTAGGCTTGCGACAGTCAATTGCACGATGTCCAGGTTTGCCACAGTTGAAGCAGTCCCCTTTGAACTTCTTGTTCTTCTGGTTGTTTTCTTTTTCCTTCGGAGCAAAGTTTGAGTGCTTCCTTTTCATGTTCTTCTTTGAACTTGATTCAACCATGTTTACCTTAGCTTCCATGCTTGGTCCCCCATTCCTCCTTTTAGATTTCTTAGTATCTTCTTCGATCCTCAAACGCACAATCAACTCCTCCATGTTCATTTCGTTACGTTTGTATTTGAGGTAATTTTTGAAATCTCTCCATGAAGGCGGGAGTTTTTCAATTACCGCTGCTACTTGGAATGACTCACTTACGGTCATTTTTTCAGCATGTAAATCATGGAGGAGTACCTGCAAATCTTGAACTTGGGAAATAACAGATTTAGAGTCAATCATTTTATATTCAAAAAAATTTTCGACAAGAAATTTTTTAGATCCAGCATCTTCAGTTTTATATTTTTCTCTAAAGATTCCCATAGTTCTTTTACAGTTTTCATCATGCTATATACACCATATAGCGAATCATTCAGTCCATTCAGTACATAATTTTTGCATAAGAAATCGGAATGTTTCCATGCGTCCAAGATAATAATCGAAGCTCGATTATTTTCTCCTTGTTGAACAGTAGGAGGATCCTCAGTGAGAAATTTTGCCAGGTTCAGAGTGGTGAGATAGAACAACATTTTCTGCTGCCATCTCTTAAAATTGACCCCCATTAAAATTTTCAGGTTTCTCTCCGTGAGGAACATGAGTTGAACTAGAAAGACCAAATATTGTTTGCGTTATAGTAGCCACAGCAGGGGGAATTGCATTGATCCCAACAGTGTTAGCCATTTCTGTTTTCAAAATAAAAGATCAACCGGTCAGAATTTACAAATTAAAATTCTACAGAATAGTAATTTCGCATAAGAGTCTACAAAGGTTAGAAATAAGCAAGTATAATTTTGGAAAATAATTCATAAAAGCGTCTTAAGATTGTTGATTGATCTTTTCAACTTTGTTGTACAGAATAGATTTTCCATAAATGACTTGCTAAACTAGATGAACAATTGCAAAACAGTAAAAATAGAAGCATAAAGAATCCAGAATTCAGAATGAGGATGATCGAGGCGAGAACTAGGCTCTCTATCCTTAAGATCTTTTTACCCCGTCACACGGTGCTTACGGTATGTGGTAAAGCATCTCCCAAGATATAATGATCAGATACTTGCGAAAGTAGCACTTCGACTGCAAGACAACGAACCAGAAAGTACTCTCTGTAGACTATTGCAGAGATCAAGAGTATGTATGCAGAATGATTTCGTGATGTTTCTGTGTGTGTTTTTGAAATTGAAAGCCCGAGGGCTATTCAAATAGAGGAGAGAGTTGACGGTTGAGCAGTTTCCATCCACCACTCACGCCCACTTAACGCACATTTTTAGCAAACTGATGGGTCGGTTACTAAACTATCAAAGGGAGGGAATTAATTGAATTTAAAAAAAATTTAATTAATATTAACACAGACCCACACCCACACCCCTACCCGACCGGTCGCGGCGACAGCGCGCGCGTGTGGCCTTTGGATTAGTCTAGACATTGTCTAAGACTCTCCCCTTTCAAAAACTACTGGTACCCCTTGGACCCAAACTCATATTCAAACTTGAAGTTTATTAAGTGGTTCAAGGTTGTGTTTGCAACCTATGTGAGATTGGAACATTTTTCCAATTCTTTCCCATTTATTCCTCTTATTTATTGTCCAACTTTCAACCATAATTTCTCATTCATATTGAAGTAGTTTTTCACAATTAAATATTCTACACTCATCTACTCGGAACGTAGAATTTAATTGAACATTAATTTCAATACATCAAACATCGGGTCCCACTTAAAATTTTGGTCAGAGTTGACCCAATTGACCCACAATTTCCAACAGTATTCGTGCTAAAGAATTTCCCTATAACATATAAATGTGACGTTTATAGCTTTGGTATTTTCCTATTCGAAATAGTTGGAAGAAGGAAAAACGCTAAAGTTGGTGATAAAGACAGTCTTCATTGGTTCCCCAAAAAAGTTTGGAATGAGTACGAGAAAGGCGAGCCCATGACACTAATGGAAGCTTATGGAATCAAGGAGAAAGATCGTGCCACGGCCGAGAAAATGTCTATGGTAGCTCCATGGTGGGTTCAAGATTCACCCGAGGCCAGGCTACCTATGAGTGATGTAGTGAAGATGTTGGAGGGAGTGGTCGAAATTATGCCGCCGCCTAAACCATTTCATTATTTGTTTTCGGTTGTGGTGGATCCGTTGAAGCCACCGAACAATTGTTTGAGTGATTCAACATATTCAACAAGTGGAACAAATTCTTACTGGTACAAGGGAAAAACGACTCCAATTATGAATAAGTACAGGATATAAATGGCGAGTTCTTGAAGGATGATGTACAAGTATTGTTAGTTACACAAATCTACTTTTTTTTTTTAATAAATAATTTCTAATTCTAATGAAAACCTCTGATTTTTCTAAAATTTAAAAATGTCACGTTAAAAAGCTTTTACGTACCATTTTTTCCTTTTATATACACTCCTTACACCTTAGTGCATCTTTGGTAAACAGAAAGAGAGTGATCATAAGGCCTAAAACTAATTCGGGCCAAACATCAACTGGGGTATGGCATTACCAGCCTGTTAATTGTACGACTAGACCAGCCCAACCCAAAATCTACCCTGATCGGAGTCTTAATCCAATCGATTGCAAGATATGGTCCTGTGAAATATTGTTCAATTGATATCTGCATTCAATTTAAATTTTGAATTTGAATCTCTGGTGACATGATAGAAATTCATGTTTGGATCAATCCTCATATGCCAACTGTACAGATTGAATATGATAAGTGTAATACTTAGCCCTTTTTTGAGTGGAAAAATCCTACTTGTACATAATGGTGTCCATAATGTGATGTGACAATCATTCAGTTGTGAATGTGCAAGTGTGAGATTTGAATTAAAAATTGAATCTAGTGCCACGTGTAATTATGGATATCATTATGTAAACAATTATGTACATGTAGCACACCACATTCTTTTAAAAAAAATTAATTTTTCAATAGTGTTTTAACATAATTCAACCACATATTTTTCAATAAAATAATATTACACACAAATTCAAAAAAAATTCTTATTTTTTAACCATATATTTCTTATCAATATACTATTCAAAAATTCATTCTTCCCCCGAAATGGGGCTCAAACAAGGGCTTAAACTTATCTCGACTTCAAATAAAAGCTTTATGTTAGTGTATCAAGTTTACTTGTAAATGTGAGCTAAATCGATGAAAATAGAAAGAACCAGTAGCAAGTACCTCAAGTTTTTGTCCGAAATAAAAATATATTTCCAATCTTAGGTAATCTCTTGAGCTATTATCACAAAAATTGAAGCAATTGATCTATGTAAATATATAGTAAATTAATACACTCAATTTGGGCTAGTTTGACACTCGGAGAGGTAATTGGTTATCATTAGAAAGTGGCAATACGTTAAGTAGCATTTTGCGAAATTATTTGAGTGACATTTAAGCGAAAGTATGAATTCCAACCCGTTTTCAATTAAATTTTTCAAAAATTTAGTTTTACTTGCTTTCATTGTTTGTTATATTTTCATTTAATTAGTTTGTTAAAAAATCAAACCAATTTGTATGTACTACCCGACAATTTAACGAAATTAGAATTGAACCACTTGAGCATAAATAAGCCAATCTTTGTGGAACTGATGCTATTATGACTTTATTACTCGTTCATGATCTATGCACTTTGAGTATTGCATAACGAATAAAATCCTGCACGGACCGTGTTGAGGTGAAAGGACTGAAAGCAGTGAGCGGTGATTGATTGTCATAACAGTATAAAATAGTTTAATCAACATTTTTAACACCACACCAACGCCCCCGTCAAATTTTGAATTTGAAACACTACCAGTTTGTCAATTTTCTATTTTGCATGAATATAATATATGTATGTTATTGACAAGTACTCGTACTAAAACAATATATGTATGTACAAACGATTTCGAAAATTTTTATCATTCTTTACATGTTGAACTTAATAGAAAATACATATTCTTTTAATATGAGTTGTAAAATTACACGTGATGTCTACCTCGAGCACAACTATATGACATACATTGCCCTAGCACATTCCTTCAATTTTTTTTTTCTCGCTTTACAATAACGTTTAATCATTCAAATTCAATAAGAATTTGAAATAATCACCATTCTAATAGTTCACATTTCAAGTCAACAACAATCTACAAATTTTATCGAGGGGCAACAGAATGAACAATAGTACCTATATTGTATACAATAATTAATATGCATATACTTTATTTTTTATCCAAGAAAAAATTTAATAAATATTGAAAGATAAAACCTACAAGTGTTCGTACATGTTAAGAGGCCTATGCGTGCATATCATATTCACACGACTTATTAGTCATATATGTATGGTACATGATCATTGAGACCTTCAAATATTCAAACTCGAACTACAAAATATACACTTTTAAACTGATATGCACAACTTATAATCATGAGTGTATGATAAATGTTATTCAAGAATACTATATATTAATTCGGATTTGTTTATATAAAATCTTTTAATCCCGATGTGTTCTTAATTTTTATATTACACTTTTGTTGGGTTTGGCCACCATGAGTTATCTTATCTTGTGCCACAGGGAGAAAAGTAACATGAATTAAAACCTAGTATTTGACCGTCAGACAAATCTTATTTGTCCATGTTACTAGATTTAGTCTTTCATTCCTAATTTATAAAATCTTGTAAATCCATTGAACTTGTAAATGAACCCGTACAAGCAAATGAATGTATCATATCAAAATGTAAATCATATCACAATGTAGACCCACCAAAAAGGGGAAAAAAGGGGATAATGTACATTATTAGATATAGGCATTGTCGAATTTACGATGAATCTTTAATCATGATTGTGATACGTCATTATTAATTTGTGCTATATCATGCATATGTACAATTGTTGGTGTTCTCTCTCTCTCTCTCTCTCATAATTTTTTTTTTTACACGTCACTACTCTACCAAAAATTTCCTCTACCCCTATCATATACTCCAGGTTAGTAGTTTCTACAGCATGTCTAAGATTGAGCATTGAGATTTCAAAACGAAGTTAAAAAGGTCACGTACAAACTCTTACACTCAATCATCGGAACAAATCCTTTGTCTAAACCTGACTGCTATCTCGAAGTTTGTCTACACTTGTCAATGATGTCTAGTTGGATACTTGAACATCTTGTTTCCTAATTGGTCAAATTTTGGGATTGCATCTAAATATGTAAAGTTTGTTTAAATATAACATTTTTAGGTACAATGTTTTTTGTAATAACTAGAGACATCCAATACTATGAGTAGATGTTGAAGTGGTCTTTACTTTAGGAGACAATGCTATAGAAAGATATGCATAGTGATAATCTAAGTAGTAATAGGGTATATGCTTCAATCTTCTTTTATTAACCATGAAGACATCTTTGGGAGTATAATTAAATAATCTTTTTTTTTGGCTTAATTGTATACGTTTTGTTCCTTGATCCGGGAAGAAAGTATAAAAGATATATATAAAAAAGAGACCTTGCTATAACGAAAATGGTGGCCACATGAATAAGAATCCAATGAACTTTTGTTAATGGGACGGCGTAGTTGACAAAATATGTATGACGAGTTTGATTTGCCGTATTAGGTAACAATATAATGAATAGCGAATAAGGGTTTAACTTATATCTTTTAATTATGTTTACATATTTCAATATACCAAATAAACCATTTTTTATGCGAAAAGGAAAATGGGCCAGTTTTTCATGGACAATAATGGAGATATACTCAAAAAGTCATATTCTTTTGAAGTGGGTTTGAATGTTTGTAAAAGCTTAACCACGTGACTACGTCAAATTCTTGATATGATGTTCGATACATTGAATTAGACAAAGCTATATGGAAAAATTAGCAATTTATTTCATATTTTTCTTCTTTGATTATATTCACTTTACTTTTAACTTCGTAAACAAATCAAATGTTATCGTGGATATTTACGATCACACGATTTTGATTGTAGTTACGCGTAAATAAAAGTGCATAGGCGACTCACAAAAAAAGAAAGAAAAGGACTCCATTTTTAATGAGGTGATATCTAAATTGTTGCAAATCATGTCATATCTCTTTCGAGACCATTTGTTTTATATTTATATATGAATCATAAAGTATATTATTTTAATAAATATTAATATTCTAGCCACCCCTTTCTATTCTGTTACTATAATCCCTCAACCAATGTGACATTCGAATTGTTTAGACACACACATTGTTACCTAAAATATGTCAATCATGACTTGACACCAAAATTGCTTTTAGTACGATGGTGATACATTTATAGGGTGGGGCTAATTGCAAATCGCACTCTTTTTAGGCCACGTATGGAAACCTATTCCCACCAATTTGTTTTTTTTCGAGGTGTCAAACTCACTTAGGCCACTCTTTGATACTCCCACACGAATCAAATCCAAACATTATCCATCTTACTTCAAAAGTTGTAATAATTTTTTTATCAACTTGTTCCCCCTCCCACCCACCTACGCATCAACCACCCATATTAGATTGGAATCATTTTATTCACCTAATATAGATATTCCGGTGTTTTATTGATGTTTAATTCATTTCTTATCCAATTCCAAGCAAACAAGTTAGTAACGTTCGAATAACATTACATGAAAAAGATGCCGAAGATATGAATATGAATGAATAACATTTTCTTATTTTATTTTATTTTAAATTAAAAGTAAATATATGACATTTCAATTGACTTTTTGGACCGAATCTGTCCGTTGAAACTCAAAAGTATGACTACAGTTGAATGTTGAAGACTAAAATGCCATGAAAAATTTGTATAAGAGCTCGATTAATCTTGATCATTTAGGTTTAGAATGTCGACCATATGTGTTGACTTTTTCTAAAAATCATAGGTAGATGTCCATCCATTCATCCCGCCTTAAAATGCGAAGTGAGTTGTGGTAATCAACTTAATAGTCGTATATCGGTGAATTCGTTTCTAAGTCTAATACGCATCAATGTGGCTTTAAGGCCGTTCTCAGCATGATTTTAACTTGCCTTGTATTATTTCTTTGATATATTTATACACAATAATTACAACATTGTACCTAATCTATCATATATACTTTAATTAATCTGGTGAGTGTGAACCACACTAAGTAATATAAAACCCAATTTTGACCAATTAGAATCCATGTGGACCTATCCAAATCTTAGGAAATACCACCAACTACATATATATGATCGTCAATAATGTACTAATTGACAAGGGAAGATCTTCAAGAAGCTTCA